ATAGCGGATTCAGCCAACCTGTCAGCTCTATTATTTCCATCGACACCTGCGTGTCCCGGAACAAAAAATAAAGGTGACTCCACACTCATTTATACATATTGAATATGTGCGGTGAATAAATGCTTCCCTGTCTGATTCTCTTTTGCACCTTGAAACAGTACGATATTTCACCAGCTGTCCGATTTGATAAATAAGAAATTGGAAGTACACGGTGGGGTCACGGTATATATGATCCTAATGGTTGATCTTAAAAAGAGGAGAGCAGGCGACGAAGAGATTGAATCGTCTGCCTGTTTCCACAGTAACGGTATCCCCATTACAAAGAAGAGATATTAATGATTTAATAGCAAAGGCAAAAGTTGAAATATTTAAAAGGTTTAATAACGATTGCAAAGGGTCTGGTGATTTTAAAGTAGGGCAGCATCGAATAGGGATTTTCACTATTCGGCCGAATACGAATAGCGGGACCAACTATTCCGCCGAATGAGAATACGAATAGTGTATCATCATTATCAGCTGCCTTGCCGACTGGCGTGAGCCTTGCCACAATCTGCGATCTCCTGCAGCATGTATTAGTTCGTGTGGTGAAACACCTCCATGCCATGCAACAAGACTGTCAAGAATCTTCTCTCGTTGACTTTCTCTATCCCTCCTTCCACAGATCTTTCCAGTGGTCACCACATGTTCCATTTTCCCTCTTCTCATAAAAATAATAATAATGACTGTCTCCATCTGATGTCTGTGATTAGTTGTCTTCGGTCTCCCGCCTCTTTCAAAACCTCTTGGTTGCTTTTGTGTGTGTGTGTGTGGGCTGTCCAAGGTATTTTAAGCATTCTTATGTAACACCACATCTCTGAGGCCTCAAGAAATTGTTTGGCCTGCCTACCGATTGTCCAGGGCTCAAAGCTATATGTTAAAACTGGACTGTGTACCACGCAACCGGGTCGCAGTTGCCCCCGCTACTACAGACTTAGGCAACAACAACTATTGTGTTAATTAGAGAGTTACTTCAGTCTATCGCAGTGTATGCAGAAACGGGTGTAAGGTAACCACTTCTCGTATTCGGCCCGACCGCAAGCAGTGTTGCCACTTTGGATATTTTACATCCAAATTTAGATGTTTTCCCTTGCATTTAGATGGCGTTTTTGACGTTTAGATGGTAGATGTCTTTCTAGGTATTTTTCATTTGGAGTGAATTTATCAAAACTAACCTAAGAAACAGGGTGAAATTTGACCTCTTAAATGCTGTCTTCAGAATAAAATTCGGCCTGATAAGAGTAGGAAAAGGCTGTTCCACTTATCAGCTCCCTGACTGAGTATTAAAAAAATTAGAACTGCTAAAGCATACCAGAGTCATTTTGGATCTGAAGCTTCAACTTCAGCAGCCAAGTTTATCCTGTGGATCTTGTAAGGCAGACTTCAATAAAGATGAGGACATGATTCTAAAGAGTAAGTCATATCAATTGCTATGTAATTTGTGACTCTTTCCATTTGGATGTATTTTCTAGATGTTTTCCACGCAAATTTATATGTTTTTAGATTTTTTAAATTCCGTTTTGGATATTTTTTGTCAAAGAAAAGTGGCAACACTGACCGCAAGTACAAAATGACAAATTTTTGATCGGCATACATAGAAAGAAGTAGAAAGATAGATGAACAAACTTAACAACATAAAATCGAAAGCTATAGTTACCGTGCCGGGAATCGAAGTGAAGTGTACTAAGAAACATGACCAACTAGGCACCCCCCCCCCCCCCCACTTTTTTCCCCCCCAAAAAAGAGGTATCTACCGTACAGATTGAAATCCACAACTATGGGATACCAGGGGATCCAGGCGACGCATAACACGCAAGGGAAAGGCTAGACGGTTATACAGCCAGTTACTGATGCCATCGGAGTTATAACTCTTGGCTTGCTACTTATGACAGGGACGGTGCGCCTATGCTTACCGGAGTGTCCCGAGTCCTGTGATGTCGATTCTGAATTCAACATAATAAGACAGGAAGACAAGAAGATGTATATAGATAGCTGGGCAAAAGCAAATGAGCAATTTGACAACAAAAAAAACCAACAATATAAAAGGACTACATTACAGAGAGGACTGAAGAGCCACGATCACATGTGTCTGCTCCAGTCAAGGTACCTAAACAAATTAGTTTTGTATGAAAAATTCTGGGTTTGTTCCGAGAAGAGGTAGCAAGCTTTTGTTGAAACGCAAAGGGAGGCCACTTCGACATCAACGGAAGATAGCAAACAGTGGGACTGTGTCAGGTTTATTTTTTTTAGGGTTGTTGTTTTTTCCCCCATTCAGCCGATACACATAGGTGGATGAATTATTATAGGTCTATACGTGTGTTTCTGTTTAAGAGCTTACAGAATATATCATGTTTGTGCCTTTGATGTAACACAGTTTTAACTGTCATTCTCCTGTATTGGACGAGTCAGCCATCTAACCGAGGACTGTGCAAGTAAGTCAAGATTCATTTATTTAAAACAAAAATAAAAAAGGAGCAATCTTACTTTAATTAAAAGTAACTGTATTATTTGTATTATCTTCAGACGAATTTGTAAGCAAAGTTCTTTCTGCTCGCTATTCTCGAACACTTACTTTACTTTCTCGGGTTACGAAACATGATAAATTGCAGTTCCAAAAAACCTCATGAAATCATAAGAAATCAACAAGAACTCCACAACGGGAGCACGCACAGCAGGAGCCTACTCCTCTTCCGTAGGTGTAGTGTACCCTTTCAACAATTGTTTCAGCCCGTTTACCTCCCTAGACAATCGTTGGGTGGGGCGACCTGGGTCATAACTCTGCTTATCAGACAAGACGTTCTGAGTGAGGATTGCAACATTTACTGAGGTTATGGGGTAAATATATATATATATATCGTCACTGTGATAGCAAATTGAGCACCTACCCGCACGACCAAAGTGACAAATTGACGGTTGGTTCATCGGACAGATGTTTATTAAACAGACTTTAGCAGTTAGCAGTAGCACGGGCAGACGTTAATCGGACAGCTTTGGCTTTAAGGATTTAAAAGTTCGGCTCTCCTTGCAACTACGGCCACATATTGGGGGAGTACGCTTGAGTTCAGTCCCCTGGCCGCATTGCAATTACGGAGTTGAAAAGAGGGAACAAAACAAATGACGTAATTAGTGTGTGTTGGCAATAGACAGCGTGAGCGATAGACAGCGTGCAGTGCACTGCTGTCATCATAGGGTTAGGGTTTAGGGTTTGGGTTAGGGCTAGGGTTGGGTTCTGTGCACTACTGTCATCTTAGGGTTAGATGACATAGAACGGCTGCACGAGCCACATACCTGCATGTTCCTTATAACTCTATGCTCAGCTAGCCACCACAACCACGCAAGCTTATCGCTCATTACGGCATATAGATCCGCAGGTGTCACATCCACGGCCACTAAGCCTTGCGTCGCAAGAACGCGATCGCTAATTTGAGTCACAGCGCGTGGTCTACCAGCCATGTCGACCTCACTTTGTTGTGTGATTCGTTCCTTCTCCATTCCGTAATTGCAGTGCGGCCAGGGGACTGAACCCCGGCTTACTCCCCCAATATGTGGCCGTAGTTGCAAGGAGAACCAAAAGTTCTTTTTCACTAGAGCTTTGACCAGTCTACCAAGGCCTATCTCCCACGACATTATGTTGTTGTATCCACAGCAAACTCAAAGCTGTTTGAAATATACTGAATATAAACAATGGCTTGCTGCCATTGCAGTAGGGTAGGTGGGGGCAAATACCCACAGTTTCATTTTTTTTTTAAAGATTTCTGGAGAACTGTTTGAATGTATTATATGAAACTTCATTTGGATATAGTTGAGCCACTTACCCGCCATGTACATAACAGCTGAGTCTGTGTTGCTATTGACAATCAAAATAATTGAATTTTCTGGGCATATAAATGTTGCGGGTCTTTGCCCCATTTGTAAAATTAATGACAGTAGAAAGGAAAGAATCATTGTAAAATATCCCTGTGTGGTTTCCAGGGCCCTATTATAGGAAAAACGAATAGACTCACTGCCTACCCAAAAGCATGTCGTATGAGTCTACTAATTGGGAGCTTCTTCAAAGTCGGAGTGCATCTGCCTGAGAGGCAAGGAACCAACAGTCTGCCTACAAATTAGTCAGATCTGTCAAACAAATGCACACGCAACACTCAGGTTCTGGAATAGGACTGCAGTTCAAAAGTGGACGAACAACCAGAACTTTCCGCTGGGGTTTACAGCCGGTGAACGCGAAGAAGAAAAAGATTGTAAAATAATTGTTTATTCAAGAAATTGAAAAAATCATTAAGGTCATTTGCAAAGCTTATCATATTTTAAAACCAGGTTAAACTGCTGAAAATTGGCTTCTATTTTTCTATTTATTTCATCATCATGTAGCAGGTCCTTTACATAACGTCACACTCATCATGGTCTGCCTGAAAGAAACTTGGTCTCTTGCCAGCTGTCCTGCCTCGAATACCCTAATATTCAAGGTGTCATATCCTCTGCCCATCTTCGCGTCAGCGGCACCCTGCCCCTCCTACTTTGTACCATGCCCACTGCTATTATTTTTTCCAGTCCACCATAGCTCTTGATGTGACCAGCGGCACCCTGCCCCTCCTACTTTGTACCATGCCCACTGCTATTATTTTTTCCAGTCCACCATAGCTCTTGATGTGACCAGCGGCACCCTGCCCCTCCTACTTTGTACCATGCCCACTGCTATTATTTTTTCCAGTCCACCATAGCTCTTGATGTGACCAGAATATTTCAGCTTCCAGGACAGGATGCTGAATATATATTCGCTAGTCCTCCTTGATGATTATATCTTTCATAATGTCAGTATTTCTTCTTTACTTCGTCTATGGTATTTTGATAATTTTTGTAACGCGTTTCAGCTCAGAAGCCCCTGTTTTCTTTCTTAAGGACTAGGAGATAGTCCACGACTCACATCCGAGTGTTGCTATTTATTTTAACAGATTTAAAACAAAAACATGAATGAGCACGACTCTGGTTGGAGTGCTGAAGAAGATGATCCAGAATTACCTGGGGTCAAGAGAAGAAAGCAGGATCAAAGTGATGACTTCAGCATCCTGAGCTATTCCCGTTCACACCTTCACAGAAGGTGCAAGCTGGTCATTCAGGACACTGGCAGATGTTTCTTTGACATTCAGAGAGAGTTGAGCAAAAGTCTTCAGCCTAGACGGAGTGTTTTACCAAAGTTGCCTCCAGAGATTTGGATCAAGATATTCAGCTATATCACCTCAGGAAGACAGTATCCATTCATGATTAGGTAACTACCATTATTGTAACTTCATTTGTTTACCGTCTGTTGATTTGTTTCATCACTAGAATTTGCTTGAGGACTATGTTGAGAAGAGGAGTAGGTTGAACATTTAGGAAACAGGTCTGATGATTAAAATAGTTATAATCCTTTCTGTATGACTGAGGATTTTTTTTTAGTCTGTGAGATCTAAAGAACTGGTTAAATTCCATTAAGTACAGCAGAGGTTTTTCTTTTTCTTTTTTTATTCTATTACTTCAACAGAAAAGGTTCAAGTTCTTGGTATCAGTCATAGGTTCTATTTTATCTTTCAAGTCTGGAGAAAACAGTTGTAATCATTGCTGTCAATAAATTCTTGTTTCCCCAACTGGAAAAATCTGTAAAATTGTTCTCATTGTTCCTGCTGTGAGATAAAAGTTAAAAAACACAAAATATGTGAGGCATACAATAAAATGGCACAGCTTCACACAGAATGGTAGCTGATTAGTCACCCAGCCTTTGTGCATCAGCTAGGAGCAGACTCCAGGGGGCTGTCTACTAGTTTTCATTTGAACTTCATGACCTCTCGTGTTAAAAGTCAAGTTAAACTTGAGTGAATAGACTTAATTGCACTGGGTTCTATCCCACACAGGGTTACTGAAACATAGACAAGATGTGCTACATTTGATAGACTGCTTTATGTTTGTGTGAGTGAGTGAATGAATCAGTGAGTGATGTGTGTGTGTGTGTGTGTGTGTGTGTGTGTGTGTGTATATTTCACATTCTTATAACAGTATTTGTCATGAGACTAAAAACCTTTACATTTTCTTCCTCTGTTAAGCATTTATTGTGCGCACTCCAAGATTCATCATCATCATGTAGCAGGTCCTTTGCAGAACATCGCTCTCATCACAGTCTGCCTGAAAGAAACTAGGTCATGGCGCTTGATATGACCAACATATTTCAGCTTCCGAGACAGGATGCTGTTTATTAGCCAATCTTCCTTGATGTTCAGATCTTTTAAGATGTCAATATTTCTCCTCTTCTTTGTCCAAGATATTCTGAGAATCTTTCTATAGCATTTCAGCTCAAAAGCCCCTTTTCTCTTTCTTAAGGACTGAGAGATAGTCCACGACTCATATCCGTATGTAGCCACGGGGAAGATGCATGCTCTCAAAGGTTGGACGTGGCAAAATATCCTGAACATTGTAACAATACAGCAGTCTTAATTTTCTATCCTGATTTAGGGCACCTCTAGTATGCAAACAGTGGTACAACCTGTGCCTCAGTCCATGTCTGTGGACCACAGTCAGGGTCCCTTATGGTGGCTACTACTGGATGTCACGCACCGACGACTTCCTGATTTGGTTGGCCAAACACAGACTTGCACCTTGTAAAGAAATAGATTTGACAGGCTGGGACATCACATCAAGAGGAATCAAGGTTGCTTTTGATTTTTATTACAAGTGAAAAAATATATCTTTCATGTAAAGGTCTTGAATCTGTGGTATGGTAATTTTTTTTTAAATAAATAGGGGAGGGCAAGCTGTGTTTTAGATGTTGGTGAAAACATATCACAATCTTCATATTAGAGATCGAGTTCTGCAGAGGGTGGGTTAGAAAAAAATAAGATGTCTGTTATCACGACTTTTAGACGGGTTCAAGAGTTGCGACCTGGACGAGTTTGAAGTCTCACCACTTAATATTTCGGATGACGACAATGGATGCTCATGCTCATACCCACTGCAACCAACCTTCCTTGTAGAGTGTGCATTCTTATTTTTATCTTATTTTTAAATTGGATGATGTTAAGGTTGCTGTATCACTTATAAGTTTGCCCTGTACCTGGGTGTGGGTGTTACTGCCTGTTTGTTAATCTTAGGGAATCCAATACAGGATATCTATTACATTGTAGACTACATATAAATAGGACCTTTACCAGCCTAAACAGAACTGGCAGGGGATCCTATGGTTAGTGAACTCACAAAGATGCAGGTGACCAGAAACCACAGTGTTTGAGTTCAGTTCCTCTTTTTTGTTTTGTAGCAGACAGTATTTAGACTTAAACAGCAGTTGTCTAAGAAAGAGTTGACTACCCCATCTCTTAATGGTCTGGCCTAGAATATGCGATCTAACTATCTTCTTCTTCTTTCTTCTTCTGCCTTTCTATGCCCCAATGGAGCATAGGCCCTCAACCAACTCATGCCAAGTCGTTCTATCCTTCGCCATTACACGGAGCTCTCCCCATGCCCTCCCAATCTTTCTAACCTCATTCTCCAGCTCTCTTCTCCATGTGTTTTTTTGCCTTCCTTTATTCCTATGCCCCTGTGGGTTCCAATGCAAAGACATTCTAGTTATGCTGTTCTCCTGTTTTCTCAGTGTGTGCCCTATCCAACGCCAGCATCTTTTCCTCACCTCCTGATCCACTGGAGCCTGTTTAGTTCTCTCCCAAAGTTCTACATTAGTTATTCTATCATACCATTTTATTCCCTCTATTCTGCACAGGCACCAGTTAATGAATGTCTGTAATTTATTAGTAATTGCCTTGGTTGTTCTCCATGTTTCCGCCCCATACAATAGTATTGATTTGACATTAGAATTAAAAATTTTTAGTTTATTATTTCTTTTAATTTTTTTTGACCTCCACAAATTCCCTAGTGTTATGAAAGCCCCTCTTGCCTTTTGTATTCTTATTTTAATATCTCTATCAGTTCCTCCATCTTTATATACATTACTGCCTAAATAGGTGTACGACTCCACGTCTTGGAGTGGGGTGCCATTAAGAGAAACCACATTACTATTTGCCTGATTTATTCTCATTATCTTTGTCTGAAGATTTATAGCTTTTCTAATTTCCTCTTTGGATGGTATCTCACAGTTGATATCCAGTTCCATTTCTAAAGGCTGGATATCTGGGGGAACCTCTGGGCCTGGTCTATTTAGAAGCATTTCAAAATATTCAACCCATCTGTCCATTTGATCTTTAGTGTTAGTAAGTACCTTTCCTTGACTATTTTTGATTGATCCAGTTGGCTGACTATATTTACCTACTAATTTTCTTGTGTTACTGTAAAGTTCTCTGAGGTTTCCTATTGCTGCTGCTGTCTCCGCTTCTTGTGCTAGATCATTTAGATATTTCACTTTATCTGCCCTTATATGCCTCCTAACTGATCTAACTATAATGAAGTTTAATGAAGGTACATGAATGTTGGCGACTGTGACTTAGGCGTTGTGAACGCACTTTGTAATGCCAGGTTCGATCCCAGCTGTGGACGATTTGTTTTGCATTGGTTTTTGACAGTTGCACCGAGAACTGATTGTTAAGAAAGCAATGGCAAACTATTGAACTTGAGGTTTGCCTAGAGAAACCAAACTGCCAAAATGCTGCGGTTGGTTCTGCAACGTCCTGTAAAGGATTACGCAACTAACATTAACATGTACGTACAATAGACTGCTAATTTTTCTCTTTTTTCCCCCCTTCAAAACAGCAACAAATTGGAAATGCTTGTCATTTGTATGTCTAAATATGAGACATATTGGTACTTCAAGAGAAGACTTTGCTGCATGTGCACGTTTGTCAGATTTGGAGGAAGTATCTAAAAGTCTTAGATCGATTTCTTTTAAATTCCCTGAGCCAGAGGTACGGCAAAAAACATCTTGTTTAGTCACTAAATAGAAAGTTTGCTGTTCTCACAGATCAGTGAGGTGTGAACTACCTCGACAGCACTGTTGGAGGTAGCATACACGTATGCAAAAGCTATCCCACTTTTTAGGAACTCAGAGGAAACACTTTTTATCTTGCATGCTTTTTCTTCAGGGTTTAAGATGTGCCGGACTTCGTTAACTGAAATGTATTTTAAAAAAAAGTGGCAACCATCTGGATGATGTTGACATCTCCCTAGTTGGTCCTTGAATTGTGCAGGCTTCATTTGTTTTCTTTGTTGTAGGTCATGCTTGTAATAATGGTCACATCTATAACTGCACACACCCACACTCATACACACTCACACACACTCACTCACTCACACACACACACATGTATAATTAAAAGAACAATAATAAAGCAGTTGATTGACACAGGTGCTGACAGAGAACTGCCCCAAGTTACAGGTCATCAATGTATCATACTGTACAAAATTAAGTAAAGATGTGGCTGCATACTTCACAGCAAATTGTCCATACATCACAACCTTGGACTTCTCTCACACATGTGTAAGTATCTGAGCTTCACTGGTGATGGTGGGGTGTGTGTTTGTCCAGCGGGAGAAGCAAGTTCGTTGCTTTCAGTCAATATTATGTGATACAGGTGTTGCTTAAAGGGTGTGCAGGGCTAGAAAGTCAATCCCACATGGCTCAGTCTTTTTATGCAGAGGAGCTGGCCACTTGGTGAGTGCTGCCGACAGCACAGAGGAGTTGGCCACTTGGTGAGTGCTGTCGACGACACAGAGGAGCTAGCCACTTGCTGAGTGCTGCCGACAGCACAGAGGAGCTAGCCACTTGCTGAGTGCTACCGACAGCACAGAGGAGCTAGCCACTTGGTGAGTGCTGCCGACAGCATAGAGGAGCGGGCCACTTGCTGAGTGCTGCCGACAGCACAGAGGAGCTGGCCACTTGGTGAGTGCTGCCGACAGCACAGAGGAGTTGGCGACTTGGTGAGTGCTGCCGACAGCACAGAGGAGCTGGCCACTTGCTGAGTGCTGCCGACAGCACAGAGGAGTTGGCCACTTGCTGAGTGCTGCCGACAGCACAGAGGAGTTGGCCACTTGCTGAGTGCTGCCGACAGCACAGAGGAGCTGGCCACTTGCTGAGTGCTGCCGACAACACAGAGGAGTTGGCCACTTGCTGAGTGCTGCCAACAGCACAATCTCTGTAGCTGCAGCGATGATGCACAGTGATCTCTTAAAAATGTGTACTCATGAAACACAAGATCATCATCATCATCCTGTTGTGCCATTATGTGTCACATAGGGCTCACAGTCTAGTCTTCCATTCTGTTCTGTCATGTCCAGTCAGTTCATTTTCATGGACATCCAGTCAACAACCTTTAATCTGTCTCATCAATATTCATCTTAGGGTTTCTTTTGAGTGTCCTTGCTGCCTCAGCCCCCCCCCCCCCCCACACACATACACTCTATTTATTGCCTGTTTGGTGATTCTCTGCTCATTTCTTCGTTTCATAATAAATTTGCAGATTTAAGGATGGCTGGGATGATACTGTTTAATAAATAATTGCTCATAGTATCTGTTGGTTAATAAAATTGGAAATGATGGCTTTTGAGAAAAGGGTGAACAACAGAAAGTGTCGGAGGTGAGTTACACACTCAAAAATCTCATATAATATATCTCATATAAAACATACCCACAGGCGGATATCAGTGACCCGCTGTGAGAGGGATAAGTGCAGGCAGATATCAGTGATCCGCTGTGAGAGGGATAAGGGCAGGCAGATATCAGTGATCCGCTGTGAGAGGGATAAGTGCAGGCAGATATCAGTGATCCGCAATGAGAGGGATAAGTGCAGGCAGATAACAGTGATCCGCTGTGAGAGGGATAAGTGCAGGCAGATAACAGTGATCCGCTGTGAGAGGGATAAGTGCAGGCAGATATCAGTGATCCGCTGGGAGAGGGATAAGGGCAGGCAGATATCAGTGATCCGCTGTGAGAGGGATAAGGGCGGGCAGATATCAGTGATCCGCAGTGAGAGTGTTAAGGGCAGGTGGTGCATGATTATGTTATACAGGGCTGAACAAGAGAACAGCAGACAGAATATTTTGCATGGATGAAGTATGTCTAGAGAAAGGAAACCTTACAGAAATGCATGCCAAAGCCAGATCTACTGACTTTTGGATTAGAAGTATGTCACTAGAAGTAATGGGCTTTCCTCTGTATAGAGGTGTTTCACTAGAGGTGATGGGCTTTCCTCTGTATAGAGGTGTTTCACTAGAGGTGATGGGCTTTCCTCTGTATAGAGGTGTTTCACTAGAAGTGATGGGCTTTCCTCTGTATAGAGGTGTTTCATTAGAAGTAATGGGCTTTCCTCTAAATAGAGGGGTTTCACTAGAAGTAATGGTTTTCCTCTGTATAGAGCTCTTTCACTAGAAGTAATGGGTTTTCCTCTGCATAGAGATGTTTCACTAGTAGTAATGGGCTTTCCTCTGTATAGAGGTATTTCACTAGAAGTAATGGGCTTTCCTCTGTATAGAGGTGTTTCACTAGTAGTAATGGGCTTTCCTCTGTATAGTGGTGTTTCACTAGAAGTGAGGAGCTTTCCTCTGTATAGAGGTGTTTCACTAGAAGTGATGGACTTTCCTCTGTATAGAGGTGTTTCACTAGAAACGAGGGGCTTTCCTCTATATTAGAGGTGTTTTACTAGAAGTGAGGGGCTTTCCTCTGTATAGGTTTTCCTTAGGATTTGAGGTGTTTCACTAGAAGTGATGGGTTTTCCTCAGGATTTTAGAAGTGTTTCACTGGGGGGGGGCAGGGTGGGGGGGGGGGGGGGGAGGTTCACTAGAAGTGATAGGCTTTCCTCAGGATTAGAGGGATTTCTCTAGAAGTGATGGGCTTTTCTCAGGATTACAGTTGTTTCTCTAGAAGTGATGGGTTTTCCTCAGGAGGTGTCTGACTAGAAAATGAAATAGAACGAAGATGAGGCAAAGGATTTTTGTCACAAAGGCATGATCTTTCATTCTTCATCTTCACAATGACTTTTAATCCTTTATCCTAACATGAAAGACCTCAACAGTAGGACTTGCAAAATGCTTCAATGATGACAATGACAGCAACTCATTCAACTAGCAACTCACTGTGAAATGTGTTTTTGATCATTGTTATTTATTGGGAATCTACACTTGCTGAGAAAACAAAATTTTGTAAATACTTTCCTCACAGAATGACTTGGTCAGTGTCATCCCCATGACAATGATCATTGAATGCTACAATGCTCAGTTGCTAAGCCTTAACTTGAGTGGTAACCTGATGCATGGTTTCCATCGAGTCATCGATGCAATCTGTGTAAGTTTGTGTTTGTTATATCCACTTTTGTCTTCCATGGTTTTTTTTCCCCTTCTTGTTCTCTGTTGTTTTATTCTCCTGTTTCAGCTGTGATATCATTATATAGAAAGATAGATAGATATTGATATCAATATAAAATGCCCCCCGTGTGGGTTCCGGTGCCCCATTGTGGGGAAAACAAGAACAGACCCACTGCCTCCCCAAAAGCATGTCGTAAGAGTTGACTAATTGGGGAGCTTCCTTTGAAGTCGGAGTGCATCTGCCAGAGAGGCAAGGAATCGACAGTCTGTATTCAAGAGAATGAGATCTGTAAAACTGATGCACACGCAACACTCAGGTTCTGTAGCCGGACTGCAGTTCACTAATGGACGAGCAGCTAGAACTTTCCGCCAGAGTGTACAGCTGGTGAACGCAAAGAAGAAGAAGAAGAAGAATATAAAATGCAGAAGTGGATTTTAGTGCTTAACAGGATTTGCCTCCAATGTTCTTTTATTAGGTTTTCTATTTCATTACTGCGGCCAGGTGTTCCAGCCAGCTTCAAGGAGTTGTCAGTAAAAAAGTGTCACAACTGTCTGTATGTGCTACTTTTTAGGGCAGTGAAGACAAGGGGTTGTTGTCAGTAAACCTTAAAATGACTTATTTTTGTTCTTTCTAACTTAAGTCACATTTGAGTTTGCCTTGTGTCTTTAAGAATGTCATACTTTCACGCTATTTTGTCTCTTTGACTACATTTTCCTTTGCACTGTGGTGAAATAGATCTCATTTCCTTCTGGTTGCTCACACAGCTGACAGTTGCCAGACTGTTAACTCTAGTTCTTGCTGCTCCCTGTAGGTCATATCTTGTTCTTGCTGCTCCCTGTAGGTCATATCTTGTTCTATCTGGTCCCTGTAGGTCATATCTTTTTCTTGCTGCTCCCTGTAGGTCATATCTTGTTCTTGCTGCTCCCTGTAGGTCATATCTTGTTCTTGCTGTCACTGTAGGTCATATCTTGTTCTTGTTGCTCCCTGTAGGTCATATCTTGTTCTTGTTGCTCCCTGTAGGTCATATCTTGTTCTTGCTGGCCCCCCTGTAGGTCATATCTTGTTCTTGCTGCTCCCTGTAGGTCATATCTTGTTCTTGCTGGTCACTGTAGGTCATATCTTGTTCTTGCTGCTCCCTGTAGGTCATA